ATAAATTAATTTATTTATTTTACTAAATTTAATCGACAAAAAACATTCGCCACCACGTGCGATGCACGTGCACTTTACTAGTTCTTTGAAACGTGCGACATATGAAACGTCCAATTTGATTCATCTCAAGTCTCCAAAAGGCAATGGGAATTATGTAAAGGGGCCTAAAATGTTTATGATGACCGATGATTTAACTGTCACTCCATTGTGTTTGACCTCAAGCCTTTCTACTTTGGACCGGCTGGGAATCCCGTTGTCTGATGTGGAAGAATTGGAGCTTAAAGTTGGATTGGAAGAGGTAACTATGACAAGACATTATATCGCATGTTCATTTCGACCGTTCGATTTGTTTTCATGATGAGTTTATTTATTTATTTATTTTTCCTTCCAATTATTTAGAGTTTGTTTTTATTTGTACTGTAGGCTCTGAGCATTTTGGAGGCATCTCTTACCTCGACTTCGGCCTTGACCAATGGTCTTCTCAGACCATCATTGAGAAAGTGTGTGAACACTGAGGCCAATGTCTGGAGGTTCCTGCATTAGTGTTTGTTGTTCCTAGTCTGTGCTACACTATAAAGTTATCTATGTTTTTTCCTCATAATTAAGTGAAAATGTGTCCAGTTTGGTTTGGTTTATGAAATTATGGCAAAATCTGATTTTCGGTCCACTAAGTTGGTCCCTGTTCGTAGTTTTATATTGAATTGGTTTTGTTCGCCGTGCAGGACATGAATGTTACCTCCGGCATGATACACATTCTTCGTCTTTTTATTGAAATTTTCTTTGTAGAATTTACTATTTCCTGATGCAATCGGTTAGACAAATCCGTGACTGTATTTTCAGCCAATAATGATGACAAAAGGAATTTAAATTACAACTGTTAGTCCCTGCTCGTTCACTGCTCAGGTAAGCAAAAAATGCTTCCGGTACAAACGAACACTTTTAGGATGAAAGAAAAAGATTGTGAACAACTCAATATATTGAGTATTAAGCTTTTCTGTGTATTTTTACAAATGAAAAACTACATCCCTATTTATAGGAACTAAAAGCTACTATTCAACACTTTCCTAGAAATTACTAAAGCTGAAAATTCAGCCTAAAGGGGCTGCTATGAAGGTCCTTTGCAGCTGCAAGGAAGCTACAAATAAAATACAATGAAAATGTAATGAAAGTGCAAGGAAGTTGCACTTCACTAACAAGGAAACTGCAGGATTATATCTTACAATTCTTCCCCTAATCTGGCTTGTTTCCTATCATTCCAATCTTGGTCCTCAGCTCCATGAACCGAAGACGACCGATTGGTTTGGTAAGGATGTCTGCGAGCTGTCGTCCGGATTCGACAAACTCTAAAACAATCTGTCCTTCATCGATACAATCACGGATGAAGTGAAAACGAGTATCGATGTGCTTGCTCCGGTCATGGAGGACTGGATTTTTTGCAAGGGCAATGGCAGGCTGGTTGTCCACCATCAGAGTTGGTGGACGAGCTTCCTCGCCGGTCAGTTCGCCCAGCAACCGACGCAGCCAGACCGCCTGGCATGCCGCTGTGGCTGCCGCCACGTACTCCGCCTCGCACGTAGACAATGTCACAATCTTCTGTTTCAGCGACTGCCATGAGATTGGGGCCGATCCAAGGAAGACGAGTACACCAGAGGTGCTCT